TGAAGTTGAGGCAGATTTGTTGAATATTATTGCGGGATTGCATTTGGACTCTTGTTATTTAATAATTGTATTTGGGTATTTATATATTATTGAGGCCTAAAATTGGCCACTTAATTTATCCTAATTAGAACCTATAAATAGATTAATAAGGTTCTGAATTAATGGTGTCTGAGATTAGACACTTTGAGCTTTTGAGATTTGGCCGAAATAAGAATCATTGTTTTTACTTTCTCTTGAATTCTCTCATTCTCTTCTCATTCTTACGAGAGTTAAGTGCTTCGATGGAAGGATAAATCTCCCGTTCAATCTGCAGAATCCAAATGCTATAATTCCGATTTGAGTTCTGAGTCAAATTGTTCTGAGTTTGTTCTCTTTTTCTCTAACCTCAGATTTGTGTATTGTAATCATGATTAACTTTTTCGTTGTTAGAATTCAAATTAGGATTTGATTGATATTCTAATATGATAATTAATTCGAGTTAGGTTAAATGATAATTTGATTTAATATATGATCTAGTTTAATTAGATTATTCGATTGAATTAATAATTGAATTGGATAAACGTTCAAACTTAGATTAAAATCTTTAGATATTGTGATAATCAAAATTACACACATTTAGTATTCTGTGGATTAATATTTTTTCATTTATTTTCTCCCAAATTTATTTTGTTTATAGTTCAATTTAGTATTTTACAGATTTTAAAACCCCCAAAAGTTTACTCTCGTTCCTGAAAAGAATACCTAAAATTAAATTTAGCTGAAAATATGTCTCTATGAATTAACCTAAGTTTAGCGACTCGGCATTACCTATCAACCATCGTACTCTACCTTAAACTCTTGACCTAGGACCCTAAAGGCAGGAACTAGTTTTTTCCTAAGGTCTATCTCAATACAAATTCTACCAAAATTTTCTCTTGATAACAAAGAAGTATAGGGGTCTACCTTTAGCATAGACCCTAGGCAGGCACCAACCTGCCATAAAAACTTACTATTGTATAATTCAAGGGGTAGGTCAGGGATTCTTACCTACACAACAATCTTCCTAAGGTTGTAATCTTTAGTCTCTACCTTTACAGCAAGAGATAATGGTCAAGAATCAGCCAAGGGCCTTCAAACAGAGCATACTTGTAATCCTCTATGTTCTCACACTTAACTAAGAAGAATTCATTGTTTAAGTCCAAAATTTTCAGTGACCCATTTTTCCCCCAAATACTATTCAATCTTTGATTTAGGTAATTGTAACTTACTGCCTAGAAGTTTAACTATAAGGGTGAACTTCCACAAATTACACTACCCCTCATAATCTTATAAGGGGATCTTGATGTTAAGATAAAGATTGAGTCATATTATGGGTTTCATCATTTTCTTCAAATTCAGGGTTAATATTAAAATTGTCTAAGATAGATTTAATGATATCTTCCTCATTTAAGACTAGATCTATTCATTAAAGCCTATCACTTTATCTTTATAAGAGGAAGATTAAGAAAAAATAGGGTTAGAGACTGAAAACACTTGAGAAGTCTTCTGAGCTTCAAGGAAGGGTTCTTCTTGCATGCAGCCCTCTTGCGATATTGGGAAAGCCTTCAAATTTGTCTTTACCTTCTTTGTGGTCTTATTTGCTCGATCGATTTAATTGTTAGATCTTTTTTCCACCTTGCTTCACTCCATCCTTCAAGAGCCACTAGAGCAATGGCTGGAAACCAGAATGCTCAACCACAAGGGACCCTTCTCCGCACTAGGTTGAGGTTAGGGTTGCAGATTCGCATAAGGGCTAGGATGAGAACCCTAGCAGTGCTTCTCCATACTTCTTGAAAAGAAAAGAATAAGTCTTGGAATCCCGAGAAAAAGCTAAAAGCCTAGTACCTAATAAAATATTTTTTAATAATGTAGTAAAAATTTATATGTATTTTATAATAAATAACTCATGTATTTATTTAATATTTTTTGGAGTTGCATCATTAGATGAAAGGATTATTCAAACTAATTACCTAATTAGTTTTTTTTTACTTCAGTATTTCTACATTTATTCTCATCTAATTAATTTTTTTTCTGCTGTATAATTTTGGATAGAAATATTACCCATTATATCAAATAATTTTTTTATGTGTATTGTAATTAGAAAAAATCACTTGCTTTTTATGTGTTTGGAATGATGATCTATATATATAAATATACGAGTCTTTATGTTTTGTATAATTAATAGAAATGAAACCAACTAATCTTGTTCATGTTTTCTTTAATTATAATATAGAATAATTTTTATTAAGTTAAACTCATTGTCAATGTTTTGTAGATTTTAAGTGTATTTTTATTAAAAAATAAATAATTTAATATATTAATACTATTAAATATTATAATTTTTAATAAAATATTATTAAATATTGTTGTATAAATAAAAAAACAATTTTATTTATTATTAAATATTTATTGACAATTAATCTTAAGTAATATAAAAAAAGTTCTATTGGCTATATTCGAACTCTCTTGCGCTGGTCCTTGAGTATGGCGGTGGTGCGGCTGCGTCTGCATCTCCCACTTCCGCAGAAACTGTTGCATCCAATCCCACTTAGCTTCGATTCCTCTTCCCTATGCCTCAAACTCTCCCTCTCACCTCATTTACGTATCGAGATACTTGTTCGCATTTGAACACTGAACAACCCTTCTTTCTCCATTCCACAACGCTCTCTATCCATCACTATTCTATGCTCTGTTCAAGAATCAAGAGTGCACGTCATCTGTTCGACACAATCACTGTAAGCCACTTTGACACTCTGATTTTGATTGATAACGCTGATAATTAATTATGAGGGGACAAAGAAATTTTTTTTTGGTTGGAATCGAGACTTTCCTCAATTCACTTGAGAGTTAAGATAAACTAATTTTTAGGTTCTTTACTCCACTTCATTTGTTTTGGAAGTATCCTACTCCCCATTTGGATATGAAAATCTTATACGGAAATTGTAAATGCAGAAGGTTGTGAAATCTTTGCAAATGCAGAAGGTTGTGAAATCAAACATGCTCTAAAAATTTCCTGCATAAAAATAATATAAACTCGTCTTAAATTAATTACTTAGTATTGATTTCATTCATCTAAAGATACAAGAATCAGTATTTGGCTATTTAATAATTCTAAAATCAAAATGGTGCTTCAAACATTGACATTAGAATGTGTCAGTTGTCTCAAATGGTATCGGTTTTTGCATTCACGCATGTATCAGTAACCCTCTCCCCCTGAAACTAAACACACACACACACACACACACATAGAAACAGAGTTTTATGGTCTCCTATTCCTCTTTCTCGATCTTTTGTCTATCTAATCTCTCACGTAATCTTCCAGTTCTGACATTTTTAATTTGACAATGGTGATTACTGGCAAGTTTTTAAAGCAAGGCTATTAAATAATGCAGACCCGATAAAAAATATATTTGTCTCTCGTTTAGCTCAGTTACAGATAAGGATGTTATAAAAAAAACCCAGTAGTTGTTAATTACAGTGAAAATGAACTGACTCTAAAAATCCTCGAGAGACTGGTTATAGAAAGACGAAACCAGTATTTTATTCCTGTTCTAGTTCTTACTTTCAAAATTTGTAAAAAAACAATGAAAAGAAAAAAACTATTTTTAATATTTCCTGTATAAACTTTTTTTTTATTTTATTATTTTTGTCTTAAATTAGACACCATAGATGTCTTCAACCACAAAGAGCTTAAGATTAAATCTTGCCCATGGTTTATGGTTGTCGCCGGTATAAATCTTTAAAAACAAAATGGAAATAAGATAATAGGATTATGAGTAAAAGTGGATGCAGAAAGTGTTTTTTAAAATTAGAGTTCCTTAGTTTACTTGTACTGCCAAAAGTTTAAGAGTGTTTGGACAGAAACTTTAAAGTGAGGAATTTAATTTTTGTGAGTTTAAAATTATGTGTTAAAATACTTTATTTGGATATTTAATTTTAAGAAATTTAATAAACTAAATTGAGGAATTACAAATTCTATTAAAAGAGCTTAAATTTAATAATTATTCTATGAACTCAGTCTCCCTCAATCTTGCGTCTCTTTGTCACCCATGTTCTCTCGCTATCTATATAAATATATTGACTTGACTTGTCTCCTAAACTATTGATCTTTGCTTGCATCAGTATTTTCATTCCTTTTCACTCATTTCCAACTTTATTTTCAATTTAATCCTCTCTCTTCATTTCTTCCAAGAGACTAAAAGATAGTAATGTTTGTAAGCTTGCAGATGGAGGTTGACAATAAAAAATAAATAAATTGAATACTCCATTCAAATAAAAAAATTTGAAATGAGAGAAATTTAATTCTCAATCCAAACAAAATATTTTAAATTCATAAATTTCAAACAATATAATTTAAATGTCTTAAAATTTAAAATACTCAAATTTTTAATTTCTCCATCTAGACAAGAGTTAGAAAATTTTACTTAACCATTAATTTCTCTCAACTTTAACCGCAAGCACTTCGGTGAAAGGCGATAGGAAAAATCTAATTAAAAAACTAAGGAATATACACCATTTTGTTTTCAACATAATATGAACCACCTTCCCTATGTTTTTTACCCGATGATTCTACAATATCTCAAAGGTATAATATTATTTCCAACTAATGTGACACAGGTTGTTGAGTTAAATAATAGTTACAATACTTAAGTAATTATCATACTTAATGCTACATTAATCGTTTTTTCCTTCGACAATTTTACATAACCTAGGGTCTAGGCATAACGAATATCACGCAAGGGCACCGTAATGGTATACCCCTTTCAGAGTCCATCTCGGTCACTTTGTGCAGATATTTTTCAAAATGTCAATATTTAATTTTATTCATCATAAATTTTACTCTTTTGAAAACGTATAAATAATATCTTAAGCCATAAAACGAAGAAATTTTACACAACTGAAATCAATAGCTTATTCGTGTAAAACATGAGCATTGTACTATATTACAACTTTTCGGTAGTTTAACTTTTCAGTGTGTTTTTCCCAGTCACCACTAACTATAAAACAAGTTGAGATTCTCTGTAGTAATGGCGTTATTAGTCTGAAAAATGGTATGAAAACAGGCACAAATGAATTGATCTTAGCAGTTTGATGAGCTTCTCGTGCTCAGAAGACTTTGATGCTTAATTAATATCTGAAGGTTATGGTCACTGGAAATCTGTACAGTGGTGGCAGAACATGGAGACTCGGTAGCTACTAAGGGAGAGTGGTAAGGAATGATGGAAAAGTGCTTGTTTGTTGTGCTATGCAACTTGTGGAGGAAGTAAGTTTAGAAGTGAGATCCAGGCGAAGCAAATTAGTTTGGAATTAAACGATCTGGCCCCCTCAGGTCATCTCCATGACAAAAACCAAAATGCTGGGACAATCATGTATAAATGTTTTACAGCTTGCAGTGAAGATTTAGAGAAAAATAAAATAGAAGGGAAAGAACTGAGATATCCTTTTGTGAACAAGTATCATTAATTATGCAGTACAATGACAACATGGTCTGGCTATGCCCTGAAAATTTTCATCTCGGGCAGTTCAATTTAATTGGCCTACAACTCATGTCCAAAATAAAAAATTTGTTGCACAAGTACAGAGTCCAAAATTACAGAACATAGGTTAAATGAGTGGGAATCTTATTTAAGTATGGCTAAGGAACCTGTACTAATCTTCAGAAAACATAAAAAGATCAATCAACAAAAAGAATATGCATGTGCTTTACTAGTATATAGTATAGTATTTACCTTTAACTATTCTTATGTTACAGTAAAGAATGCCTATGAAGAATGGATAAAGCAAAACTGAAAGGAAGAGAACGGTTTCTCTATATATAAAAAAAAAGAAGTAAATTTCGAGAAGATATTAGTGTAATCATACCAAAGTTTCCAGAAGACGATGTCCTAAACCTTCACCATGTGTGCCTCAGCCAGTGAGGAATTCAGGTCTTCTCGGGACTGTGATCTCCTACTCTGCAGCCGCATCTTACTTCTGTGGGGTGACCAGAATGTCCCCATATTGCTGCTGTCAAACTGCATCTGTCCTAAATTGCTTGAGGAATAACTATGCGAGACATTACTAGCTGATGGGTAAAAGGTAGATTCCATCAGCTGGATGTCACTGCTGTTATCACCAAGACCATGCCCCAGGCTAAATGGTCTATCTTGTGAACCTGCAATTGTCGGGCTGAGTGGCGTCTTTGTTCTTCCATCTGCAATACCATACGAACATTGGCATCAAAGCTATCGTAAAGAAATATTACCAACACTGTACACAGATTCCGCAGACATTCAAACTATCCAAAACGAACAACCCATCTATATTTCGTAAATAAACTGAAACAAACCACGTTATGTTGTAGAAGTACATGATACACATTTTTGTCAACAGCAAATGTTACAGTGGAAAAACTAAGAGCACAACAACAACTACAATTAAGCCTTATCGTTAGATTGCCTACATGGATCACCGATGCTTTCAAGGGTCTTCTCTCCAACGTTCAAACATTATGAGCACACAATATAATTAGGATATATTTTTTAATCATTAGCATTTAACAGTGTAACTGTATAGTGCATTTCAGATATAGCATTTGCCAAAGATCCCCTTACGTGAATTTGATACACAATTTCTTAGAATATTAAGAATCTGTTTGGTTTGAGAAAACAATTTTTGTTCGAATTTTCTATTTTCTATCACTAATAATTACAGTAATGTCTTGTTTTCACTTTATCTCAAGTTTTCAAATATTTGTATAAAAAGTTCAGATTAAAAACATTTGATTATTTTTGCTATTTCCTATACATTCAGTTGCAAAATAAAGAAGTTCCATATTGGATGGAAATGAGAGAAGTAAAGAGAATATAAGCAAAGAAATGCACAAGTCCAATTGCCGTTAGCATTTTGGATAAAGTTGTTACCTTAACCCCAAAACCCACCTTAAGAGAAAGACCAGCCACTCTCCCTATACTGCTGATTTGAATCAGGACCGTTCACAAAGTTCAACAAAAAATTTTCATATAAAAAGAAATAAAGTGAAAACATGGGGGCTTTTTATAATTAATAGTGAAAATAGGAAATAAAACAGAAAACATTCTCTCAAATCAAATAGACCATAAATTTGTGATTGACGACCATATTTTATAAATCCCAAATATTGGTCGTGAGCAAATGATCCCAAAAACACTGCAATGCGATGGGAGATAGTGGGATGGCCCCTAATTTGAAGATTATCAAAGACAAGGTAAATAATGTATGTAGCAGCAATCATTTGAGCTTTGCTGATATATAAGAATCCAATCTCAAAAACAAAATAGAGAGAGAGAAGCGTTATAGAAAACTAAAAACTCTCTCTCTCTCTCTCCCCCCTTTATGGAAATAAAATCTCAAAACAAGAAGATGTAGCATATTCATAATTACTAATAAAATAAAAGACACGGCATCGATGAGAGTAATAAGTGGTCAGAACACAATTAAAAAATATCAAAGACCGGTGTGCAGGGCATGAGTCAGGAATCAGAACAAAGCTGTAGGAGTGCTGGAAAACATCGGCATGGAAAAGAAATGCTGATGAGCAGTGTATTAGGGGTTGGTTGAGTGTTTGCATTGAAACACAGGTCAATGCTTGTGTTCCATCAAGGATCTTCAGAAGGAAGAAGAAAAGGATAAATCATGAAAATACCCAAAAAGAAAGGGTTGGATAAAAAAAAAAAGGAGCACAGAGGGGTTTTTTCCCCTGGTACACCATAGGGGCTGCAGTGGCTACTACTTTCCACAATTTTGCTGTGGTTGATCATGAGCACAAAACAACAACACAATGAAACTTGGAGCAATCACCAGTCAAGACTCAATGCCACTGTAGCAATGTTATCAGAATCGGGATCCTACATAAGATTGACAATGGGGGTACATGATCCTAAATCATAGGATCATAACAAGGATCGTAAGATCCTACCAAGTATACAAAATTATACTTAATCATATACATATGTATAGAAAATAATATAGATAAAGAAAATAATCTCCAAATCACATGCTTTAACTAAATATAAACAAAAAATTAATAAACATATGATCCAATACAACTCACAATTAGCCAAAAAAGTAATAAGTTTTTCTAAGAAATAAAAAAATAAGCCCAGAAAATAGAGGACCCATGAATAGCAGTCATGATGCAAAGCAATGGCAAAGAGGAGCAGACAATTAGAAACCAGAGGACCATGAACAGTGCCACAAACAATAGTGTCAATGGTAACAGAAAACCAGAAAACCTCACAACAGCACTTGGGTAATGTGAAACAAAGGACCATGCAAAGAGCATGAAGGCAGTTTCGAAAATGAAAAAGAAAGAGTGAAAACATTCTAACCTAGGGCTAAAAATCATCATTACGCAAGAGGAAATGGTCTCAACACAAAAATCGGGTTTAAAATTTATGGGAAATGAGTTTTTTTCCAAAGAGTATCCATAAACCTGAACCACTAACCCATGCGCAAAAGATCAGATTGAATTTGCGGTCCTTGGGAGGAAGATTGCGATCTTGATAACGGTCCTCCATGTTTGTGATCTATATGTGATTAAGATCGATGATGGTGCAATCTTTATTGCGATCTTGACAACACTGCACTGTAGTACATGATTGATTCCCATGTGGGCAATCAAATAAGATTCATGTAGCCTTCTAACTATCCCTAGCTCCAGAAATGTTGCAGGTACAATGTAAAAGGAAAAATAAAATGAATATTTGGCACATAACCATAACTGAGAGAACTCTAAATATGCACTATACAAAAGTAGCCTAGACTGCTTTCCTAGACAAAAATGAAGGAGCAATTCTTTAGAAAACCTTTGAACTTGATGAAACTATGTAGTTTTAGACAGAGGGACAAAAAGAACAAAAAAGAGTGTGAATATTATAGAACTGATATTCACATAACTTGATGTGATGTCTTACAATTGGTGATGATGTTCATAAAATCTAAAGCACTAAGCCTTTTTTGTAATAATTTTTATGGTCTAGGACTACCAATATCACGAATACCACATTGTGTATTCAACAAATTTGAGTTAAGCTAGATAAGATCACCATGATCAACAAATTTTTCCTTGAGTTTTTAATGAATACATTACTAGACCACTGATTAAATTAAAATAATCCCCCAGTAACTAATCTATGTGCGCTCAATTGTACCATCATTTTACACTAATACTAAATCATAATCCTCATCAAATAAGGATATGATCAAGATACTATTAAATATTTTTCACCTGTTTTAACAATTTTCTTGTTAAAGCCTATTAAGCTCTAAGCTTGTTACAATTAAACCCTTTCAAAGAAATATTGGCTCTACCAAACGTGTCTGCAATGATCATCATCTTGAGATTGATGCTTAGTGGGACCAGACTCCAGAGCATCCAGGACTGAAGACTGACATGGCCAGGGTGTCTAACATAGAGATTAGCAGGGCTAGACGGTGTCTGGGAATGAGATTAGGGCTTAAGTGCGTTTGGTACAAAAGCTTGCGCTAGATTGCATCTTGGACAAACATTGCTGGGGTTCAATTGTGCAAAGGACTAAGACTAGGGCTAGACCATGTTTAGGATGCTAGAATGTGAATCATACAGCCCTACATATGCAGAATAAGGAGGCATGGGTCCTGAAACAGATGAAACAAGGATAGATCAGGGAAGGGGACATCAGCACAAGTTCCCGATACTACAAAGATTATATACAGTTGCGCGAATGCTGAAACGTGCTGGAGAGAACCAGAAAAGTATGAGTTGACTTTGGGATCATGACTCAAATTGGGTGGTTGTCAAAATGAAACATGCTAGATGCTGAAGTAGGTCACAACAAAAAAGCAGCAGCACAGAAACAAATCTGACAAAAAATCAAAGATCAACTGGAAAGACAACTAATTTGAAAGCAAAGAACATGAAAAATAAAGTAGAGCTCCATAATTGAGGAGCGAACTCAGCAGCAGAATAGAGATGAGACAAATCATGGAGGGAGGTACTGATCTGATACAACGCTAAATTATAAAGTTTAAGGTATTGTGGGAGGAAAATGGGAGAGGAAAAGACTGACTACTGCATGATTGATATTAGCTTAATTCAGTGGGATGTATCACAATTTGATGATGTTCATAAAACCAAAAGCATTAATCTTTATTTATAAGTAATACCAAATCATAATCCTAACTAAAAGGGAAACAGAACATTAGATAATAAGGAATTATGTGAACTCAAACTTAGGAGATTCTGAGAATCTATAATTCTATGCAAACTAATCCTAAGAGATAATATGAATTACTCTAACTTATTCCAATATATGATGATCAAGAATCAAGATAATACAGGATATTTTTCATACATTTTAACAAAAGTTATTCGTATAGAAATTAGAGTTAGTCTTCAAATTTGGATGAAAGAAGAAAGTTTGATTGACGTCAGTCCGTATGTAATGTATCATCTTTCTTCTGTAACAAAATTAAATATATAAATAATATCCATTGGCCACATCAGTCTAGGAAAGCTGGGATATTGCTCTTCCCAAATAAGGGATCAAGATATTAACTACAAAGGTAATTTTGCTTCACATACTGGAGCACTAAGGTGCATGGCCAGATTTGCATCACTCTAGTTCACTTGTAAAGGAAGAACACGTAACAACCATCTATGCTCAACAATGGATCATTTTCTTAGTTAAAACTCCTCAAATCAAGAATCCAATTGAGAAAACCTAACAGAGATCATGTCCCCCTTCATCCTAGGCCAATGTAGTTGAATACGTTGTATACTTGGTTTGTAAAAGCATACATGACAATGGCAATAAATAATTTGTTTATAAATGTTCGTGGTTTGAGTTGTAGTAATTTCGTGAAATTATCATCAGAAATCATCAGTTGTGAAAATGGAATGACACTAACTAGAAAGAATATTATAGACTTTCGTTTCTTAAGTTGTGGTAAGTTCAGAAATTAAATTTCATGGGGATCAGAAAATCAGATATCATGTGTTAAATAGCTTACCAGAATTGATTGGACTCCATCGCTGGAACCGGAAAGGAGACGGGATATTAAGACCAGATGCACTGGACACACCGTTATGCCGGAAAAGTGGAAGATATTGCATCCGGAAAAACCTTGGTGTCCATTTGATAACACATGATAAAGCACAGAGTAGAAAAATGAAAGAAAGTATCAAAATGGGAATAAGAATAAGTGGATTTGTCTTCATCCGAAGCATGTCAAAACCATGAAGCCCAAATCTAGCAGAATATGCCTTCCCAGCTTCCAACAAAGCAACCCCAAGTGTCCAAGTGATACTTCCAGAGCCCACAGTTATATGTTTATCAGTAATGTGCAAACCCTCTCTCAGCAATGATGCAATGTACGGTGCCCTAAAGCAGTATTGCTCAATAAAGGGCTGAGGAGCAACACTTTTCTTAGCAACATCCCACCTTTTTTCACAGAAATTCCTACCCTTTTCCAACACATCATCAAGCGTGGCTTCAGAAGTTAGGTTGAAGAACCTATACACCACGAAAAATCCAGAAATCACATAAAAGTGGCCCAATGGGCGAGGGAGATTATCACGAAGTGCACAAGGATGCACTTCACAATCAAGCCCTGGACTGACATCAGACCATTCAGACAAATTGACAGCAACTTTCGCAAGTGCACTGCATTCTTGCCAATTCGGAGCACCAACAACTGTCACTGCAGTCCTCAATTCTCCCTTCTTACCCAACACATTCCCATCAACTCTAGGACTTTCACCTCCTCGGCCAACAGGAGAACAATGAGAACAAATATACTGATTCTTGTACCCAGATTGCAAGCAGGGATGCTTAACTTCCACATTCCCATTAGCCACATCCGCATCACTATACCCAAACTCCTTAAAAATATGCGCCACGGACTTATCAAACGCCTCATTGAGGCCATACCCAGCAAGCGAATACGCGGTGAGATGATGATTCACAGATCCAATCCTAACATACAAGCTAGTCTCACTATTCAGCTGTTGAATATCACTCTCAAATGTAACCTGCAATGATGAACCACCCAAATCGAGCGCGCCATAAGTAGCTTTCTTAGGCTTAACCCCCAAAATGCCACTATGATAATTAAGTGCAATCCACCCAAAGTAAGCTTCTTCAGTGCCAGTAATAATCTTAACCCAATCCTTTCGACACACGAAAGGCGAACCCTTAAGAACATTCCAAGCATTATCAAGCAACCACTTGGAATCCTCAAAAGGAAGCCTCCTAACACCAGCAGTAGCATAAAGAAACAAAGAAGTAGTCTTGTGAGAACTCTCAGGTATCTGCTTCTGCGCCCACTTTAATAGCGGTTTCAACGCAGTTTTCAAACCAGAAACATTGTGCACCAACTTATCAAGCCCCGGTTCAGTTTCCATTCTATCATAGGCACGCCCACTCTGCGAACCACGCTTCTTCTGCAAACCCTCCTTCAACGATTTAACAGCGATTGGAAGGTTACTATCCTCCTTGTGATCAATCTCGGCCTTGTAAACATAGACACGTGTCCCCGTGCTTCCACAATCGAGTACAACGTAGTACTTCCCCGACCCTTGGGACCAGTGAGAATAAACAGCGTAAATCAGAAAAAGAAGTAATAAGACACAGAGAAGCATTGAGACCAGTCTGAGACATTTTTTGCGAACCGGGTTGGAGGGTTGAACCGGTTTGGTTTTGGAGAAGCTGGTGGCGAAGTTGGTTTCCTTGTGGAGGAGGGGGTGATGGGGTTTCTTCAAATCGGGGGTGACAGAGACGGCGACATCTTGGGGATCGAGGTGGCGGTACGAGGAGAGATCCTGAAGGGAGGAGGAGATTCGGAGGTTGTTTTTGGCGGCTGAGACTTTGCCAAAGACCATATCTTTTGAAGGGCGAGAGAGGACTTGGATCAAGAGGATTGGGATGAGAGCTATGAGGCATTCCGTTGCATGGTGAGTGCTGAGGATCGCGTTGGATGAGGCAAATGTACAAAGTCCCAAGCTGATTCAGATTTTGGGACACTGAGAAAGCCAATTCAGTGAAAGTGGTTGTTGTTGAGGCGAGATCAGGGTGAAGACGCAGTTGTGTAGTGTCAGTTTCAAGACCAAAGTGCAGTGAATGAGAGAGAACGAAATGCACGCAGATCTCTGCACCGAACTGCGTCGTTGATTACTGGTAAGAAAACAAAGAGGGTGGCCAGTTTTTATATTTTTTTTCTTTGATCATTTTGTTTACTTTGATGCTATGTTACATCATCGGCCTGATACACCAAATGGGCTCCAGGCCCATTTGTCATATTTAATAAATAAGTTTTTCAAAATTATCAATCACTTATAAATTTATCATTTTTGACATAACACTTACACAATTAATTTTATAAAATTTCATATAAAAGTAAAATATATTAAGTAATTTTTATATTTTTTGTAAATAAAAAAATATTATATACTCTTTCATATGTAAAATAATTATTACATTAATTTTATATTAAATATTTATAATAAATAATGAGGTTAGCAGGCTATTTAAAAAAATAAATATAAATATTTTTTTAATTTTTAAGATATTAAAAAATAATTGCAACCATCTTTTTAAAAAAATATAAAATTTTCTTTTAAATTTATTGACATTATAATAAATATTAATATATAAATACTTTATTACGTTATTTTATTTCAATGTGTAATATTTTTTAAATATAAATAATATTAAATTTTAGATAACATACTTATAAATATTTAAATATGTAAAATTTGAAATACATGATTATGAAGACAGTATTAAGTAATTTAATGGTTGAATTAATATAACATCTTTAATTCTTTATTTAAAATAAATAAATTTTTCATAATAAAAAAAGAAAAAGAAAATATTTTTGTTTTGTTTTATAACTTAAAGAATTAAATAAAAATAACTTATATTTTTTTTATGAAATTTTATAAAATTTAAAAGTATTTAAAATTTTAAAAGAAATAGTTTTGAGATTTTAAAGTGATAAAATGAGATTTAAGTTTACATTTAACAAATTAAATAATTCATATTGCATACGTATAAGTCTAAAACATTATTAATAATGCTTCTCAAGAGAATAAATTTTCTTTTTTCTATGATTGCAAATCACCATAAAATAACTAATCGTCAATGTTACAAATACACTTTAAAATTATTACTTACAACAAAATTTATTCAAGTATTATAAATTCTAAAATTTGAAATTTGAAGTATTTACATAACCCAGTCAATATAAAATGTAAATAATAAATATTACAATTCTTCAAATTATTCTAAACCCTACAAAACAGTCTTTCCTTCAAATATTACTAGACTATAATCTTAGAATAAACCAATTCTTTTATTTTCTTCAAAGTCCATTCCTTGAAAATGTTTAGTAAGGGTGAGTATTTTCTACCTTACTAAGTCCCTTATTTGCTAGAAAATATTATATAATATTAAAAATATCTTCTAATATATATTTAACATACATTGATTAACAATAACACACAAATCATTCTCATAATAAAGCACATACATTTTACATTGAGCTATATGTCATAATACATGTATTATATTATTACACCAATTGATATGTTACAATACATGTATTTTAATCATACCCGTCGATGTATTATAACACATATATCATAACAACACCAATTGATATGTTACAATACATATATTATAATCATACAATTTCTATACTACACATTCATCACACTTTTATCATCATTACCCCTGGGATTCCTTGAGGACTTCATAGTGTAATACCTTAAATTTAATTTCATTAATTATCAAATTTCAAAAAAAGGAGAAAATAAAATTTCTTTCAAAATAGTTTTTTCCCATTCATGGTTCATTAAAATATTTCAAAATAAGGATGGTTGCAACTTGTATTAAATCGTTGCTACACGACTTAATGAGTACATCAAATATTTCAAAACAAATTCCTAAGTCCTACAGCAGTTTCATCCATCCTTCACTAAGTCCAGTGCTGATCGTCTTGGTCACTTGAAAAATAAATATAAGGGTAAGTACTCTACACTATCATACACACACATAAACAAGCATAGTCTTACCTTACCCATTCCACACATTTTCTAATATGTTTTAAATCATGCATCAACAAGTACAAGATATTAATTCCATCATTTCATTCTCAATCACAAACATGTGCGCTCATTATAACATCAAACTTCATCATACAACACTCATGTGCGCTCACTGCATGCTAGCTACGCTCACTATGGCACTGTGATTACAGATTCACACCATGAACAATCGTCGATTACCCTCGCCTCACGGATACCGCATAGGCAGTCACGAGTCGCTCGATAAAGGTAGTGGTCAGAGGTCTAGTTAGGAGGAGAGTGTGTGGCATGTGGTGTACCCACACTCACAGTTGGTGTCACCACTACTCTCTCTTCCCTAAAGTATTTCTACTGTCTCATCTTCCACACCTCTAGTATATCGCTGAACCATTCATAGCATCATTACAACAACATTTAACACGCCCCATTTACATACATTTCATTCACAGCACACGGCACAATGCCCATAGTCATTCACGTTACACGACACTTAGGCTCACATTTATTCATAGTACACGGCACAAGTGCCTATATTCATTACACGACATTTACAACATAATTCACATTCATCAATGACAGGTACACTCACTCATTCATCCATATTTGGCTCAATTATTTCAGTCATTACATTCAACATCAATTCCTAATCAAAATATACTCATAATAGGTTTTAACGTTATCAAAATCATACCCAATCATGCATTATTTATTGAAATACGCCAGTTCACACATCCTATCTCAATCACATTACGAAAACACAACAATCAAACGGATCCTCAAGCAAACTAAGATAGGGTAGAGTCCCCAATTACCTCGAGTTGAAGATCCACACACGAATCAACAATGAAAAAGAACCTCCACACAAATTTCGATCATAAAACGCATGGAAATCCCATGAGAACCCAGGAAACAGAGAAGAGGGACGAGAACTGAAACCTTAACCATTAAAACTCACCTTCAAGTGTTTCCAACACGAATCCAACCTTCAATCCAACTCACGAAGCGCTTTGGAGGCAATTTAATCGGTGGAATAGGGTTTGGGATTGAGAGGATCAAAGAAATTTTGAAGGTAAATATGAGAAATGAGGTTCCCCAACCCTAAACCCCTTTAAATTCCTTTCTTGTCGCGACACTCTTGCTACAGCGAGACATTCTCGCTGCAGTGAGGCATCTCTCGTTGCAGCGACGCCCCTTGTCGCTACAACAAAAATCTCAATAGAAACTGCACTCTAGTTTCTGCAGAATCTCGCTATAGCGAGACTGCACCCAGAAATGCACCCTAAACTGTTGTTTTGTCGCTACAGCGAGAAGGCAACAGTTTCACGCCTTCCTCCCAGGGTCCTCTCGTTACAGCGAGACATCTCTCGCTATAGCAAGAACACCGTGCATCAAATACTTACCCAATTTCAGTCTAGTTCCAAACATACACATTAACATTCAATATTCATCACGTACTCAAGTGTACATTCCAACCAGGGTCCTCTCGTTACAGCGAGAGATGTCTCGCTGTAGCAAGAACACCGTGCATCAAATACTTAGTCAAATTTTAGTCTAGTTCCAAACATACATATTAACATTCAATATCCATCACGCACTCAAGTGTACATTCCAACATCCGTTTATATATAATAATAATAATAATAATAATAATAATCAATATTACAAAAAATAGGGCGTTACAACTCTCCACTCTTTGAAGGAATTTCATCCCCGAAATTCAACCAAATACACACAAGTTATACAAATAATCTCGGATATAACTCTTTCATTCTACTCTCCGTTTCCTATGTGGCATCACCCTCATCACGTGAGTTTCATACCACTTTCACCAATGAGATTTTCTTTCCCCCAAGCTGTTTAACACAGTGGTCCGCTATCCTCATCGGATATACATCATAAGACAAGTCTTCTCTCACTTGAACCGGATCAAGATCAATCACATGGGAAGGATTCGACACATACTGCTTGAGTTATGACATATGGAACACCGGATGTAAATTTGAGAGACTCAGAGGTAGTGCTATGTGATATGCTACAGAACCAATTCTACTCAGTACTTCGAATGGCCTAATAAACTTAAGAGATAGCTTCCGAGATTTAAGAGCTCTCCCAATGCCGGTCACAGGTGAGACCTTCAAAAACACGTGGTCACCCACCTGAAACTCCAACAGCTTTCTCCTCTTATCATAGTAGCTCTTTTGTCTATCTTGTGCAGCCTTCATTTTCTCTAATAATCTTGATTTGTTCATTCTACCTTTGGATTATATTCGGTGCACATAGAGTAGCCTCTCCATTCTCATACCAGCATAGAGGAGTTTTACATCTCCGTCCATACAGAGCTTCAAATTGTGTCATTCCGATGCTGGCGTGGTAGCTGTTATTGTAAGTGAACTCCACCAGCAACAGGCACTCTTCCCAAGTTCCTTGTTGCTCGAGTACACAAGCTCTTAACAAGTCCTCCAAGGACTGGATAGTTCTCTTGGTTTAACCGTCTGTCTGTGGATGATATGCTGAACTAAGCTTCAACTTAGTGCCTAACACCCTCTGCAGGCTCTCCCAAAACCTCAAGGTAAACCTCAGGTCTCTGTTAGACACCACACTGGTCAACACTCTATGTAACTTGACTATTTCCCTCACGTACAAGTCTGCAAGCCTCTCCAACTTATACTTTATGTTAATCAAGAGAAAGTGTGCAGCCTTAGTCAATCTGTCTACAATCACTCAAATGGCATCATGATTATTCCTGATCCTTGGAAAATTGAAAACAAAGTTCAAGGAAATGATGTCCCACTTCTACTCAGGGATCTCTAATGGGTTCAACAACCTAGGTGGATGCTGATGTTCTACCTGTGCCTTCTGCCAAGTTAAGCATCTAGCTACATATTTGGCCACATTTCTCTTCATTCCATTCCACCAAAAACTCTTCCAAAGATTCTGATACATTTTGGTCGCACCGGGGTGAAAATGCATCCTGCTCTTATGTGCTTCCTTAAGTATTATTTGCCTTAACTCATCCACTTGGGGAATGCATACTCGGTTCCGAAACTTAATCACCCCGTTCTCATCACAGCAGAACTCTAAATTCTTTCCCTCATTCTTCTGTCTCGTCATATCTTGCAGAAAGGCATCTCCCTGCTGCGCATCTCGGACATACATTAAAAAGTTATTATAGATTGTTGTCGCTTCGAGATACAAGCTTCCCGGCCTCATGGCCAAGTTCATGTCCCGAAATTCCTCAATTAACTCCATCTCCTTCACCATCATTGCCGCCACGTGCAATGATTTCTGGCTCAAAGCATCGGCCACCACATTTGCCTTACTAGGATGGTAAGACAATGTAAAATCGTAATCCTTGAGGAATTCCATCCATCTCCTCTACTGCATGTTTAACTCCCTCTGATCAAACAGGTATATCAAACTATTGTGGTCGCTGAACACCTCAAACCTTGCTCCATACAGGTAGTGCCTCCATAACTTAAGAGCAAAAATCACCGCGGCTAACTTCAAGTCGTGAGTCAGATAATTGGCTTCATGCGGGCGTAACTGTCTTGAGACATAGACAACCACTCGCCCATCCTGCATCAAAAGACACCCAAGTCCGTATCCGGACTCATCACAATATACATCAAACTTTTGCTTCAGCTCGGACAGAGCTAACATGGGCACTGAAGTCAACCTTATTTTCAACTCTAGGAAACTGGCTTCACACCCCTTGGACCACTTAAACTCCCTACCCTTGCGGGTTAGCTTGTTAAAGGCAAGACTATCTTAGAAAATCCTTCAATGAACTTCTTGTAATAACCAGCCAGTCCCAAAAAACTACAGACGTCAGTTACATTCGTCAGTCTCGGCCACCCAGCCACTTCCACCTTTGCGGGATCCACCATAATTCCTTCTTTCAACACTACATGCCCCAAAAATTGGATCTCTGACAGCCAAAACTCGTACTTCAAGAATTTTGCACACAGTTGCCTTTCCTTTAGAATCTGCAGAATAATCCTCAAGTGCTCGGCATACTTTTCCTGGGTCTTTGAATATATTAGGATGTCGTCAATGAACACCATCATAAACTTGTCTAAAAACTCATGGAAGATCCTGTTCATACAGTCCATGAACACTGCAGGCGCATTGGTCACTCCAAACGACATCACCAAGTACTCGTAGTGACCATACCTCGTCTTGAACGCCGTCTTGGGCACATCCTCATCCTTTACCCTGATCTGATAGTACCCTGAGCTCAAGTCAATTTTAGAAAACACTACAGGTCCTCTTAACTGGTCCATCAAATTATTGATCCTCCGAAACAGATACTTGTTCTTGATCGTTATGTTGTTCAGCTGTCGATAGTCCACACATATCCTCATGCTATCATCCATTTTTTTTCACCAAGAGCACTGGTGCTCCCCACGATGACACATTCGGCCTTACAAACTGTTTTTGTAATAAGTCTTCCACTTGCTTCTTGACCTCCACCAACTCTATTGGTGACATCCTATAAGGTGCCACAGAAATCAGGCTTGTTCTCGGAATGAGGTCAATCGCAAACTCTATCTCTCTTTCAAGCAGTAACTCAAAAATGTCTTTAGGAAAAACTACCAGGAACTCCCTCACCACTGAGATATACTCTGGATCCACCACGCTTTCAGCCTCCATAGAGAACATGACCATAAAGGCCTTAGAATTCACTGCATTTTCCCATGCACCATGACTTAACAGACACTTAGCCAAATTTCAGTCTAGTTCCAAACATACACATCATCATTCAATATTCATCACACACTCAAGTGTACATTCCAACGTCCATTTATATTTAATAATAATAATAATCAATATTACAAAAAGTTGAGGTGTTACACATAGTATATAGTTGCTGGTTAGCCATTGCACATGGATACAATGTGTGCCAACCCTGCCTTTTTTTTAGTAAAAGTGTTGGTCAGGGGTTTAGGTCAGGAAATGAGTGTGAGGCCTGTGGTGTCTTTTCCCTATATTTTCATTAATTATGCGCATTTTAAGAAAAGTATCCACCACCCTCATTTCTCCCAAATTTTCAAAATCGCCCCTGTCTTCCACATCCATAGTGTATTTCTGTGACTATATATACTCATTCTCAGTATTTCTCATATCATTCTCTTTCTCAGCATTTCTCATTTCATTTTCATATTCTTTTCATCGATCAGCATGTCATAATACGTGAGTTATAATTTATATAATAAATCCATGTATTATAAGTACACTTGTGGTGTATTACAATACCTGTATCATAATTACATCTATTAGTCAGTTATGACTCACATATTATAATCACACATTTCATAATTCCACAATCATGTAATTCACTTTTTCTCAATAATCTAAATCCACTAATTTCAACATACATCAGTCAAACATTCATATTTATCATATCATATCAATCCATCATAGAAAAATCATCAATCAATTTCACATTACACAAATCAATAAATGTGCCGAAGGTTAGACACTACCAAAGTCAAGTCAATTGTACAATTTCAATACACATACTTTCTTCGTATTAATAAAGTTATCTATCCTAAAGTTTGACATAATCTAATATTCACTAGTACAATCATAATATTTCTCAAAATGGTTCTGATTAGAGCTTTTGTTATAAATTGTATTTAACTAGTTCTAAAATAATCATGTGTTTGTCATGTCAAAAATCTCTATTGCTACACTTAGATTTTAAGGAAACATTATGATTCTAGAATTCTAATAGAAAAACTTAGTGTTTTCAAACAAGAATACGAAAAAGGAGTTAGGGTTTGGGATTAACTCCCTTTACCTGGAAATAGGTCTTTTAGAGCGAGTTTTCCTAGAGATTCAAGAGAGAAGTACCACGTCCCAATGGAAGATATCGTCTTAAGGGTTAAGATTTCCTTAAGTATCATAAAGTATAAAACTTTAAATCAGAGAAAACTGAGAAATAGGTGTGAAGTTAGATAATCAAGCTCTAATAAGCTTATTTCAATCTAAATGAAGTAGACATTCAAGCTCGGATCTGGAAGAGATTCAGAGTTTGGGAGAGTTTTCTTTAGGAAGGGAAGGTGAGAGAATAGAGAGAAAATAAGAGAAGAAATGTTTGGTAGGAAATGCATGTTTTCTATGCTGATATCCCATAAATACCCCTCCAAGTCTGCGTGTTATTGCTTGAGCAAGCCTTACTCTCACTTGAGTGAGCCCTTCCTTGCTTGGGTGAGAAAATTAGAGAGTGGAACTACTTAGTTTTCTGCTATTCTTGGCAAAGCGAGAGACATTCTTGCCTGGGTAAGCAGCATATCACCCGGGCAAGAGGCATTCTCGCCTGGGCGAGCTCCATCTCACTTGGGCGAGACCCCTTCTCGCATGGGTGAGAGGACAGTTGAGACCACTTTATCCTATTTTGTTTGAGCGAGAATGCTCAAGAACACTTTCTTTCAACAAACTCTATCTCGCTTGAGCGAGAAACCCTACACCTCAAATTCCTATTCTCCCATATAAGGGCAATAAAATTGAGAGCATTACAATTAATAAATCTCACATTTTATAAAAATTTATTAACTGGTAAAAGCATTTAAGTTTAACATTTGGTATTAACTGATCTTGACACTCTTTCTATATATTCACACACAAGAATCCTTTATAGTGACATTATCATTGGAGAGGATCTTCGTCATTAGAAGAAATTATTTTTTATTAAAAAATACATAATATCACAATGAATGACTAAGATTAAAAGAGTTAGTGCATTAAATTTTTCATTGTAGAAGATTTTGATAGACATACACAAGAATGGTAATAAATTCATATTAAGTTTTAGCTACTCACAAAAGTATAAATGACATATTTAGGAAAATACTATAAAATTAATAAAAAATAAAAATTAAATCAAGTTGGAATTAGTAATTAACAATTGTCACCTTCTAATAAAATTGATATAAAAAAATTAACAAAAATAATCATTCTTATTTGTGTATATGCTTGCGCATACCCACACATGCATTAGCACATGTATAGTAACTTCAAACTTTATAAGTACCTTAATAAGAAAAAAATTAACATAGTTTACTATGAATTTTGATAAAATAGATCTCTAGAGTGAGACAAATGGCCTTACCTCTAGCAAAATAAAATTAAATTTATATGATAAATGCACACTTTAATAATATAAAACAAATTATGTAAAAAAAATTGCTTACTAATTTAATGTCTTTTGTGAATTCAA